CCGCTTATCTAACTCTGCTCGTCGCCCCATGACTTTAGTTTGCCTCAATCCCCATATCAATGATTTTTTTGCATCCACCATCCCATTTTGGAATGTCATAACTGTCAATGTACCCCAATTCCTCACCCAGTCCCAATTTGAAAATCTCCTTGATTTTTTTATTTCTCGCTACTAGCTATATATATATATATATATATATATATATATATATATATATATATTTCTATATATATATATATATATACGCGCCCCAAATAACTTTTTCGGCCAGAAGAAATTTAATAATTTCCAATTTGACGTGGATTTGACCTAATTAGTTTTAATCAACGGGTTGCAACGCGTTATTTTTTCGTCCAACGTTTAAAAGTTTGATCCTCAGCCACATAATTCAGCAGTGAACTTTTTCTAAAATCTCACGTTTACTGAGGCGCGATTTTTGACCCATTAGCTTGAACCCAAGTGGGGGCTGCCTTTTTCTCATGCACCTTTCTTCACCGCTCTAAAAATAAAAAAAAAACAACTAAATCTAAACCTGGAACTCGAAAGTCGAATAATGGAAGTTCCGGGACACTACCACTTGATCTACGCAGTTACAAGTGCCAGCTGCTATCAACAGATCGTGCTAACTAGCAAGATAGTTTCAAAAACGTTAAAGTGATTTTTGAAAAATCACTGATTCAGGTGAAATCTAACTTTTTATCCGGTTCCATTATTAATGATGTTTAAATGGTTTCCATTTATTAGTTTGTTAAAGTTCAAGATCTAAGATCACCTTATTTTTTGAGGGATTTATCAGTATAAGCTTTTCAAAGCTTAACCGTTTTAAAATTTCAAAGTTAATTCAATTCGCACTTTTGATTTAAATTTACAAATCAAAATCCTTTGAAACAGATATTCTTCAAGAGAAAAAACATACAGTACCAGACGAAAATACATCATATTTTGACTTTTTCAGGGAAAAATAGTGATTTTTGAAGTCCTACACAAGTTATCAAAAAATATTCAAGTGATTAAAAAATTTACTGTTTCAAATTATATCTAACTTTTATCCGGTTTCATTATTATTTACTCTTTGTTTTACAACAATATTAGAGTTTCACGAAACATTTTAAACTGCTGATCGGCGATTAGATCAATTTTTCCTCACCACAAAAATATTTAAACTATTTTTTAAAACAGAAAAAAAGGTTTTAAAATTTTGAAAACAAAGCCAACAATTTTGAACAACTTTTTTAGGACTCCAAAGTTGACCATATCGCACTGAAAGAAAAATAATATTGGAATTAGTAAATTGTTGAAGCACATACATTTTGAAACAGCAATTTTTCCAACTATAAATTGCAGTTGCATTGAATCTTAGAATATACAAAATTGTTTATAGACTTTGGTACACGCACTACTATAGAATCAAAATGTGATTTTTCTGAAGTAGGCACTTAGGGTCAGACCTGAAATGTTTTAATGAGAAATCTGAACATGTGAAGAGAGGAAGGTCAATAAGACATAAAAATGATATTTTCAGTAGCTTTTCGGTTGTTTTCACAATTTTCAGAAGTTTAGGGCTCGGCTATCAAGTTTCCGATCATTTCAAAAAGCTCTATCGTGCCGCTGCATGCCCCCATTTCAAAAATTGCGAATTTTAAAACTACTGTTTCAAAAAATAGTATCAAATATTTTTCAAAAGTTTCTGTTAATATGCAAGTAACAATGTGTTGTGCAAGTTTTTGCAAAATTTTAGGTGAATTTTTTTAGGGACAGCTGAATATTCAAAGTTCAATTTATAGAGAATACAGTAACTCTATGAACGGACAAAAATACGACGATTTTGAAGATTTTAAATTTGGAGAAAACTCTGCAGGTAAGATAATTTTTGCCCTTTTCAGCTTAAAGGATCACGTAAAAACGATGCAAGGAATCACCGAAAAAAACAAGAAAAAAAGTGATGATAAGTTTCTCTGATAGTGAGCTCAATTTACACAAGTCGAGAAGGTCTTACTTCCGGAAACTGCGTCTCGCCGTGAGCAGGTTAGTTTTCGAAAGTCTAGTGGACAAAGAAACATACGTGAAATTGCAGTCTCTCCACCAAATGTGTCATGACCCGATGATTGAAACGATTCAAAAATTTGGGATTTGTTGTGTAAAACAACTACTCTAATGAATTTATTTGGATTTGCAAAGATTGGAGTACGGAAATTATATTGAAATGGCTCAAGTGAGTTTATTATCGACATCACAAAGCCAAAAACTTCTTTTTTCAATTAAATCAACATTCATTTCATAAAGAATATCCATCTTATCTACAACCGGAAACTATGACAAGAGAATTTTCAAAATCGAAAATATGGACGAGCGGAAGAATTCGAATTGAGATTTTTTTTTTCATAAATTTTGTCACTTTTTCTTATTTCATAGGTCCCGTTATTCTCGCTGATCTCATCGTTTTCTTTTTTGCTGATCCCATTCATTCATTTGTATCACACCCCTCATTTTCGTTCCGATTTCCTATTTCTACATTTTAATCAATGTTTTTCTTTTTCTCATACTTGTTCTGTTTTCTTTTTTTATAAATTTTATTATAAATAAAGTGAATGGCGTTGAAAAGAAAACAAAATTTGAAAAGCGCATATAGCTATATATATATATATATATATAGCTATATATATATATATATATATATATATATATATATATATATATAAATGACTCAGCTGCCGCGGATGAATTGTTTTGTTTTTTTTGTTGTCCTAAATTTTTTTCGTCAGAAAAATGGGTTTTTCTCTCAACTTTTGCCTTTTTTCGCTCGGTTATTTTAAACTATATTTTCTGGAACATATTTTAATGCATTTCTCGTGGCAACTTCGGTATTAGATCTAGTCCAGATCTAATTCCGAATGAACTCATATCTAATTCAGAATCGTTTACCTGAGTGAATAACCCCATAAATATGCAAGTAAAACATGTTAATATGTAAGTATCAAAGATTGTGCAAAGAGTTTTTTTTAATACTCGCAAAATTCCGGGGTGGCTTGTTTTTATAGAAGCTGATTTTTTTTTGAAATTTTTTAAACCTAGCCCGTTGCAAATATGTTCCAACAATATTGAAGTAACTAAAAAATTTACTGTTTCAAATTAAATCTAACTTTATCCGGTTTAAAGTTCATAGTTCAAGATTATCTCCTTTTTTGGGGATTTATCAGTATAGACTTCTCACATCATGTTAACCGAAAAAGTTGGAAAATCTCTAACTCTGGACAAAATTTGAAACAGTTATTTTTAGAAAAATCGTGAACAATTTTGAATATTATAGAACTATTTTTCAATTAGTGCGAATTTCAAACTTGATTCGATTCATATTTTTGATTCTAATTCAGAAATCAAAAAAAAATCATTCTGAAATTTTAGTTAAAGTAGTGATTTTTGAAGTCCTACCAAAGTTAGCCAAAAAAATTTGAATCGACTAAAAAATGTACTGTTTCAAATGATATTTAACTTTATCCGGTTTCAGTATTTTTACTAACTTTTTAATTTTCAGTAAAATTAGAGCTTCATGAAATATTTAAATCTGTAGATGGCCATTTCGGATAATTTTTTCCACACCACTGCATTCTTAAAACAATTTTATGAAACAGGAAAAAAAGTTTATAAAACTTTGCTACATGAGACTTAGTTGGTTACAATCAATATATTTCAGTTGGATGATCGCAAAGTTATCAACAACAAAAACGAAACTCTACTTTTGTTTAATATGTATAATTTGGAATTTTCATACAAATCGAAAAGTTCGGAAATGATTTCCTTGGGCTCCAAAGTTGATCATATCCCGCCGAAAAGTCAAAATATTGAAATTCAGCAACTTTTAGAAGAAAAATTGTTGTTTCATGGAACTTTAGAGATTTCGAAAATCTTTTTCAGAATTTGATAGACATAATATCAAAGAGGGAAAACATTTATTTTCAGAAGTAGGCGCTTTGGGTTAGGCCTCAAATGTTCTAGTGAAAAAATCTGGCAATGTGAAGAGAGGAAGACTTAAATACATGTAAATCTACATGCATTTCTGCACATTTTGATGCAATAAAATATTTCACCGTACACCACCTTTAATAGCTACTGAAAATTTTGAGGTATGCGCCTTTGAAGAGACGCAGACACATTCTTTGATCGCTGATAAGAGGCTGCCCTCTTCAAAGGCGCATACTTCAAAAACTACAATAACTAGACAAAAAATGTCAATCACAAATTTGCGCAGCACAAAATTTCACACATTTATCTGTTTTTAAACTTTTGCTAGCTACTGTAGTTTTTGAAATATGTGCTTTTAAGCGTTTGCAGAACACCTAGGAATTAGCTTATTTAAAGGCGCAAACCCCAAAACTGATGTCAAGATGTTGTTAAGTACACTTTGAAAGTTTCAAACATTCTACAAGTTTTTCGATGACTTACATAGCTGGATATTCGCACTGCCTGACAATAATTCTCAACAAATCAGCAGTCATATTGATTGATGGTTTACTTAACGCCATTTTGATCTGAAAATGTTAGAACTAAAATTATGACTAGCGAAAAACGAGCTCCACAATTCTGAAAATGGCAAAAATCGATAGAAAAATGCGTTTTTGTAGGTTTTATTGATCGGTACTGTACATCAATTGAGAACTCAAAAGATTCCTATCTTGGGAACCTACAGTAGTCCCTTCTGGGAAAATGATGGGCATACGGTATGAATCTAGACAATGGGAGGAATGCGGATTATTGACTTTCTGGGATTATTGATTTTCTCATACGCGTCCTCCTCATTAGTTTTCCTTGTCTGCCTACGGTTTTCCCAGAAGGGACCACTGCAGATTCCCAAGATTAGAATCTTTTGATTTTCCAATCGATGTACAGTAACGGTCAATAAGATATACAAAAACGCGTTTTTCTATTGATTTTTGGCATTTTGAAAATTGTGGAGCTCCTATTTCGCTAGCCATCATATTCAATTCTAACATTTTCAGATCAAAATGGCGTTAAGTAAACCAATAATCAATATGACTGCTGATTTGTTGAGAATTATTGTCAGGCAGTGTGAATATCCCGCCATGTAAGTCATCGAAAAGTTTGAAAAACTTTCAAAAATTGAACAAAAATAGAGCTTCCTTTGTGTAGTTAACAACATATTGACATTAGTTTTTAAATATGCGCCTTTAAATAAGCTAACCCCTAGGCATTGGGGCATTTGCAAACGTTTCATAAAAATAAAGAAAAAATTCAAAAAAAAATTCCTTCATCGAGAAAAACGCATCGAAAAATACGCTGAAAGCCCTTAGGGACGAGGTTTTTTCTAGGCCGCCCGGTGAGTAAAAGCGCGCGAATTCAAACTTTAAAAATTTTTTCGCTCGTTTTCACTTTTTTTCGGTTTTTTCAAGAGTTTTCTAGG